GTTATATATATATATATATATATATATACACACACACACGTTTATATTCATAAGCATATTATAGTTCCTAGAAGTTTATCATGTGCACGTGATTTAAATCAGCGACCTGTTTATAAACTAGTTGCAAATGCGAACGTCTTGAAAATTATTTATGTTCATCTAACCATTCTTTGATAGTCACGACATTTTGCGTTCTAGCCTTTTTCTTTACGATTCTCCCTCCATCTAAACACACGACTTATCATAAAGCATGTTATGCACAGACGCGTATCGAAAGTAACATTACAAGGTCCTTGACTGGCGAGAGGAATGGAATCAGATCGTGCTATCTGCAAGAAGACGGAGTCGCCATTAACCTTTTTCCTTATCTGTCACATTAATTAAGCCTTATCGGTAATCTCCACTTAGTTATGATCGTACTGACTTGACACATACACAAATTTAAATCAGGTTATTATTCCCATTTTTTGTTTAACAAGAATCAAACTAATCTGTATTTAAGTTCATTTGTCACGAATCAGAACCTTCTGTAATTCATTTGTTCATTACACACTTAAATATTGATTTTTCTTTACTTTGTTAATTATAACTTAGCCAACGATCTCGTATTATACATTCTCAAAATAGACCCCCCAGTGGATCAGCGAGAAGTCTAAAGGCTTATAACGCTAAAAACCGGGTTTCCATACGTGCGACGGGCACAGTACAAATAGCCCATTGAGTAGCTTAGTACTTTAAAACAAACAAACATTCTCGAAAAAATTAAACCACGTTAACAGAATTTATTTCCTTCTGGAAGTTGCCACTTTAATAAATTATCTTGGTTGTCTTGGAAGGAAAGAGATATTTTATAAATTGCAAATTTAGATATTATCAGATAAGTTTATGTTTGTTTTAGCTCAAAGCTGTTCAATGAGCTATTGGCGATGGATGATATTTGTGACTTATGTATTTAACGTTAGTGGGTATAATATTTTCAACATAAAAAAAGTTGCAACTCATGTCACACATGGGCTAAACGGCCAGGTCAAACATTCCAAGGTTCAGAAAGAGCTTTCCTCGATTTAAAACTGCTGACTAGATAGAGAGAGAGAGAAAAAAGTCAACAGCGCCCTCCGCCTATATAGTTACTCTTAATTGAAAAGCAGAATTGACTGTAATTTTAAAGCTCTCGCAGATAAAAATGTGGCGTACATTCAGCCACTGGGGGGCTTAAACATTTAGGATCTGGCAATTTGCTGTCCTGCAGGCTCGACCTTAATGGATAAGAAAACCAACTCTTTTAGGGAGTTAAATGTACATACTTTTCCTTTGTTTCTTCTTCAAAACTTGTAATAAAAACTATTTTAGAAATACATCAGTATTAGGCTTATTAGAATTTCAACACAAATTCTTTCTTCAGTCCGTTATGATTTTGTTCAAGAAAAAGATGTCTTATGACAAATATGACTAATTATAATTATACTTCGCCAACTTAAAAAAAAAGGCCATCACACCATAACAACTGTTTTTGTAACAAAGGTCTTATATAAATAGTATTCCGATTACTAGTGTGTTCAATCGGCCCGGCATGGCCAGGTGGTTAGGGCGCTCGGCTCGCAATCTGAGGGTCGCGGGTTCGATTCCCCGTCACACTAAACATGCTCGCCCTTTCAGCCATGAGGGCGTTATAAAGTGACGGCCAATCCCACTATTCATTGGTAAAAGAGGAGCCTAAGAGTTGACTAGCCCTCTAGTCTTATAACGCTAAATTAGGGACGGCTAGCGCAGATAGCCTTCGTGAAATTCAAAAACAAACAAATTACTGTGTTTGTTGTATCCAAGCCGACTTGAAGAACTCCATCTGTTAAGCGAAACACGTCATCGACAATAAATGTGACGGACGTAGTGTAGTCGAAGTACTATTATTATATTTTCTTCTTACAAAATCCCAAGGGATTCAATAAAGAATGTGATGCTGAAAATATAACAAGCCTAATATTAGTATCTTATGAAAAATAAAATTAATTGTGATTATCTTTCGCTTAAAAAGGCGATCACATCATAACAACTGTTAAAAAGTTTGATATTTTATATTTGACAGTGCTTTCACTTTGTCCTTGTCTTAGGGATTCTTCGCAATAAAAATTCCATTAATCACTAAAATACGATTACAGAATTTTAAAACTGCCGAAGAACAGATTATATTTATATAAATGTCTTTATAAAACCCCACATTTGATTTTATATACAATGTTTTATTTTTAACAGTACTTATAGCAGATTTAGCTTTCTGTTGTTTAATTATTTCTTTCTTAAATTCGAAATCTGCGATGTTCAGTAACTTAAAAGTTTGTGTAAATGCTACTATCAGTGAACAACTATCGCATTGTTTTAAAAATAGTAATATATGTATATATATATATATATAAACAGAGAAAGAATTATCATAAAATAACCAAATACTTTAACTTCAAAAATTTATTGTCAAGACCGTTAAAAAAAGACCAACTGAGCTTAGATGGAACATTTCAGTTTTAATAAATGTTAGTTAACCTATGAAGAAGAAAAGAAGAAACAAGCTTGGTTTAATGACATAGCTAGAAATGGGACCAATCACTCACACAAAGATTCTGTTGTGAATGTCAGAACTTTGGTATATATGTTTAGCTTCATATGACAGAAAATAGATGGATATTAGCATTGTGAATTCATATCTTTATTGTATATGGTACAGCAAACTAGTTAGGTAATAAGTATTATTTT